ATGTTTATAGGCAGAACAGCCAGAATGCAAAACGCATCTTTTACTTGAGCCAATGACAGTCGTGAGTAAGAACTAGCTGCATCTTCAGCAAACAACATTAGGTTCGGGGTTTTCGGGTTTAGGGTTTAGGTTCGGGGTTTAGGGTTTAGGGTTTAGGTTGGGGGTTTCGGGGTTTAGGTACGGGTTTAGGTTCGGGGTTTAGGGTTTAGGGTTTAGACCCTCAGCTGCATGTCGCCACTCTGCGGCGCTAGGCCATGAACCCCGTCCAACCCTGCACCTTCCTGAAACCCGGACGCCTTGTCTGTTTCCGCAAAACCTAAACTCCCTAAAATCCCTAAACCTTCATTTCTGATCCCCCCAAATCCCTGAACCCTGAAATCCCTAAACTGGGTTGTAGTTTCGGGGCCCTGAAAAGTATTCATGAATAAGTACCTCTATAAGAACCAGAGGGAGAATCGACAAATCTCCCAAAGTGCCACCCAGTGAAATCCCTAATCCTTCATTTCAATTTCTGATCCCCCAAACCCCTCAACCATAAACCCTAAACCCTAAACCCCAAACCCCTCAACCCTGAACCCCCTGAGCCCCAAAATGTCGAAAGTCCAATGAGCCCATGGCAGGTCTCAGTTCATATCTCGCCTTGCGCGGAGTGGACTTGCTTGAGGTCGTGGTGTGACCTGGAGATCGCCAGTCTCGGTTTAGGGTTTAGGGTTTAGGGTTTAGGGTTTAGGGTTTAGGGTTTAGGGTTTAGGGTTTAGGGTTTAGGGTTTAGGGTTTAGGGTTTGGGGCTCAAGGGTTTGAGCGTTCAAGGTTTAGGGCTCAAGGGCTTCAGGGCTTTAGGGTTTAGGGTTTAGGCTTTGGGACTCAAGGGTTTTAGGGTTTAGGATTTAGGGCTCAAGGTTCTAGGGTTTAGGGTCCAGAAACTGCCCAGATGCAAAGTGAGTCTCTTAATCAAAAGCCTAATCTCTTAAGTACGGCAAGCCTACATAAGCCACCCCGAAGTTGAACCTTTGACGACGTTAGTTGGATACTGAAACAGTAACAGTTGAAAAAAAAACTCAATTTATATAAAGCCCTTACTAGTAGCCCTCTTATAGACTGCTACTGCATTGAGGCAGTACCCAAGATGCTAATATAGGGGCCTTCATACTTAGAATAGGCTTTTGGTGGGGGTATAACACACTATAACCATACTACAAAGAACCCCCCGAAGAAAAATTGTATATTGGTAATTATTTCGGCCTCTACCTAAACCCTAAACCCTAAACCCTAAACACTATATATCAGGATGCTGCAGGCCCAGAAGCTTCTCCAAGGCGCCTCAAGAGCCCCAATGTAGGGCCTTTGAATACTTAGAATAGGGCTTTGGAGCCCATTTATGCTATAACTATAACAAGGAGCCCTCAAAATAGTATAGGTAGAAATTTCGGCCCCTATATTACCAACACTGTTTTGGGGCCTTCCTTAGCATAACTGTGGTATTAAGATTACCCCCCAAGCTGTTCGAATTGTTAGGGGCAACAAACTCTGTTGCAGCACTTGCTGCGTAGTATAGCACCCTCAACCCCACAGCCTGAGCCCTTTCCCCCAAGCCCAAATCCCAAACGTTTACGCCCTAAGACGTTTATCTCAGGTACTGTTTCTGCCTGGGTAGCTCTCTCTCTCTCTCTGTAGGGGTGCAGTGGCTCCGCGGCAACCTCGAGGTAGGATAGAGGTCTGCAGATGAATCAACAAGAAGACCCCCTGCTAGTCCGTTTGTACTGAGACTTTCCCACATATTCGATACCCTCTTCCCAGCATCAAGGCCCCTGTTTCATGCAAACTGTCCAGGCACTTGTAAACACCCTGTACAACCCTAGACTGTAAACGCTGAAAACCAAACCAGCAAATCGCTAATGAAAGCCCTAAACCCTAAACCCTAAACCCTAAACCCTAAACCCTCAACCCTAAACCCCGTCGGCTCCTGTTTTCTGAGGCCCCGGGCTCTCAGCGCGCTCGGCTTCGGCGTCGAGCCGCCGCCGGGCTTCCCGGTCCTTCGCGCGACCGAGGAGAAATCCGGAATTCGGACATGGCGCTTCAGGGCGTTTAAGGAAGACTGGGGGGTAGTAGTTTAAGGAAGACTGGGGGGTAATAGTTTAAGGAAGACTGGGGGGTAATAGTCTAAGGAAGACTGGGGGGTAATAGTCTAAGGAAGACTGGGGGGGTAATAGAGCCATTAATTGCGTTTTAGGGTTTAGCGCTTTGGGGTTCAAGGAGCCAGGGTTTAAGCGGTTCTAAAGGCTGCAGAGATGTTGATGACGAATCTTCAGGCCTCCTGAAGCGGCCTTCAGACAGTTGGGCCCAACTTCCTAGGTAGTATTATTAGGGGTACCCCTTAAAGGGTACCCCTTCTGAACCCTACTTTTGGCTCTCTTAAAAGGGGCCTGATTCAGAGGGTCTACATCCCCAAGAGTCCCCCTAATCCTAGCTCCCACTTCCCTCCTCCATCTGCTTCACCAGGAAGTCAGCGTTCTCCCGCCTTTGCCGGCGCTCAGATCCTAGCTTTGGGGCCTTTTAACTGCCACCACGAACAGGAGTCCGTTGATCTTGCTCCGGAGTGTTCCGTTCTGGTGGTTTTTTGGGGTTTAGGGTTTAGGGTTTAGTTTCCCATGTCCTGTTGGTTTGTTGCTGCTTTGTCTTGGGGCCAAGAAAGTTTCATCCAGGGTCTTCCCGCCAACAACGGGCGATTCAACGGTGCTGCAGTCATGCCGCCAGGCGGCCAGGGAAACGGATACCTACAGATGCACTCTGCAAGCCTGAACCCTAAACCCCAAACCTTTAACCTTAAAGCCCAAAGCCAAAACCCAAACCTTGAAAACCACACCCCAAGCTCCTAAACCCTTCAAAACCAAACCCTAAACCCTAAACCCTTAAAAACCAAAGCCAAAACCCTGAACCCTTAAAAACCCAAGCCAAACTACCCTGAACCCTGAATCCTGAGCTCGAAGCCCCCCAAACCCGGATCCCCCGAATCCCAAACTCGAAACCCTACTTGGAGGATCATGGGACTTAGTAAGTAAGGTTATAAGTCCCCTAATTGGGGTTATAAGTATAGTCACCCTAATTATAACCCTACTTACTAAGTCCCATGATCCTTTAAGTAAGCTCCAAGACCAGCGAATGTCGGGGCCTGAATCATTAGGAATAGGGTTTTGGGGCCCATTCCACTATA